CCATATTGTTTATTGAAATTTGCATGTTTATGAAAATTTGTATTTTTGAAATTTTTGGGTTTTGGCTTAAAAGCTTGATTTTCTACTAGAAGTGCCTTGTTTTGTTTTTCTACACTTGATTTATCTTTTTGAGTCTCTCTATGTTTTTCTTCAATTCTAAGTGAAATTAGCAACTCATCAAAAGAGAATCTTTGAGGCTTTTGTTTTTTGGTATTCTACCAAACTCAGACCAAGAAGGAGGTAATTTTTTAATTAACCCACCAACAAGAAAATTTTCTTGAAAAGTCATGCCCTTCATCTTTAATTCATGGACTATGTTTTGAAACTCATGGACTTGATCCATCTCAGATTTTCCATCTATCATTTGAAAATCAAAGAATTTTTCAGTGTAGTACCTCTCTAGTCCAGCATCTTCAGTACCATATATTTTTATCTATAGTTTCCCAAAGTTCTAGTGCTGATTTAGTAGTGCAAAAAATATCATAGATAGGTTCAGTAAGTGCACTAAGAATTCTGCCATGACACAGGTAGTCTTTTTCTATATCAGAAGGAGATTTTGTTGANTTTCTCGTAGATGTGACTTGACTTTTTACAAACGATATGTGGTTTTCTAAAGGTGATAACTATTGTCCAAGGTTAGTTTTATGGGTGGAGTCCTTTTTGACCTTTTTCTCGTGATTCCCAAGCTATTACTTGTCATCAAAGCATTATGACAAACCTCGTCTGTTCAAGTTCAAGTTGGCACATTGACAGCTATCCAAAGTATTTATATAATTAGAATTAACCATTAATAGTAAAATTTAAGTNAACTTGTACTAGTTCCATCAACAGTAGTTGTTTCATTAGTCTGGACTTGGGTATGTTTATTTTCCTCAGGTTGAGTAGGTTTTTCAAACACAGAAATTAAACCCAAAGTAGTCAACCATAATTTCATTTGTTGTTGTCATCTTCTAAAGTGTTGACCGTTGAACTTCTCAGGTTTGCAAGAATTACATTCAATAGTGCTCATATTTCAAATAAGAGAAATGAATAAACAAATAGAAAAAACAAGTTTGCCTACGTTATTCTAAACTTAATTTTATCTCTTCTTAGATTGTTAGAAAATTAAATATAAAAACACAGATTCATAAATTAAATAAACATGCAAATATATCAAATAAACTCAATCGAACTTAGATAAAAAATAATTTTAGAATAGCCTGGTTTGAGGCGCGAGATGAACGTTGTCCTAAGAAGAGACACGTCCCCTCCGCACAGAGTTTTCTGACGTTCTTTTCCCAAGATACAACAATCCAAGAGAAGATACGGTGTAGGCGTGAATCTCTCTCTAACGAACTAATCTCATCCAAGTTACNGATTGTTAGAAAATTAAATATAAAAACACAGATTCATAAATTAAATAAACATGCAAATATATCAAATAAACTCAATCGAACTTAGATAAAAAATAATTTTAGAATAGCCTGGTTTGAGGCGCGAGATGAACGTTGTCCTAAGAAGAGATACGTCTCCTCCGCACAGAGTTTTCTGACGTTCTTTTCCCAAGATACAACAATCCAAGAGAAGATACGGTGTAAGCGTGAATCTCTCTCTAACGAACTAATCTCATCCAAGTTACCCACAAAACACCCCAAAACTAGTAAATAATGAAAGAGAATATGTATATGAAAGATGTTTTTCTATATCAAAGGAAGATTGATCACATGTCTATTTATATATTAATGGATAACCATTATCCTTTAAGGCTATATATATATATATA